TGAGGACCAGTGTGACAGTTCCTAGCCCCTTTGAAATTGCTGGCAATCTCGCGGCAGGAGAGAACTCCCTTGGGATGCCGCGTCGTGTTTGGTCTTTGCGGCGGCCAAGACCTGAGCAGCTTGAGCCAGCTGAAACGCTACCGTTGAAATTTCTTGCGTTGCGCGACAATTGCCAAGACCGGATTCTTGTGAATGTTTGCTCACAGGATGATTAGTGGGCATGCTTGCTGCTGTCCGAGAACAGTTTGCAGAACGGCAAAATTGCATTTTGCGTTTGCAATATCCAGGGCTTTCCAATTGTTCTGAGGACAGTTGGGAGAGAAGGCAGTAGTCATTGAGCAGTGTGCGACGGCATTGCAACATCACTCTGAAGATGTTCATGGGCATTGAAATTGGGATGCAATTGCGAGGCTACTATTTGCTGTATGTACTTGACCACCATCTTTTCGTGGGGCTCAACATTGCTGGCGACCCAGATTGCATTCTCCACCGGAATGGTGGCATAGTCGAAGGAGGCCCTTGTGCAAATGCAGCAGTTGTGGGATTCTGGCAAACAAGACAGAGAAAGAGAAACGGACAGATAGAGACAGAGAGAGAGAGAGAGATAGAGCGAGATAGAGCGAGAGAGAGCGAGAGAGCGAGAGCGAGAGAGAGCGAGAGAGCGAGAGAGAGAGAGAGGGAGAGAAAGAGAAAGAGAAAGAGAAAGAGAAAGAGAAAGAGAAAGAGAAAGAGAAAGAGAAAGAGAAAGAGACAAGTTGTCCTTCGAGACACAGCCCATCAATCTAATATGTGCAGAACAGAAACCTTGTGATGTGCCACCTGCGCCATTTCCTGGGTGATCTGGAAATCTGTCAAAGCATTGCAGGTCTGTCGGCCTGTGGACGTGATTCGCGGGTGGCAGTTGCAACGACTTCTACAGGCCTCCTTTGCCCGGGAGCCTGCTGTGGTCGGGCAACATTTGTATTTTGCGGTTGCCATCTCTTGTCTTTCTTAAGAGAGATTCAACTATGGCGGCTTGTGTCTGATTTATGTTGCCTCGCTTCTGACTAACTCTTGAGATAGGTGTGGTCCCGTGTTGAAGCTTCCGTAGAAAGGAAGGGGTACCTGTAACGTGCACCCGGGGCGCTGAGCTGATTTTGCCTGTTGGAAGAAATGTCTAGGGGGTTTGCGAGGACACTGCGTTGGAAAGCAACAAAACACATGGGTGGCAGACCAGGAATCCCATGCAGACAGTGAATATATGGTCAAGGGTTCGCAGGTCCCCCCCTGCCCCCCCATGGTTCCCAGTTCTCTCCCCCCTCTGTGGTGTGGTTGGGGTGTGGTTTAGGGTTGGTTTATGGTTGGTCTAAGACGACCCCCCCCCCCCCTGTGGTGGGGTTGTGGTGGTTTAGACTTGGTTTAGGGTTGATCTAGTTGTAGTGGTTTAGGATGGTTTGGGGTTTATGGTTGGTTTAGAGTGTATTTAGTGTTGGTTTAGGATGTGTGTGCTTTATCCTGGGTGCAGGGGTGGTTTAGGTTAGTTTCGGGGTGGTTTAGAATGTGTTTAGTGTTGGTTGAAGATATGTGCTTAGGGGTTGGTTTAATCTAAGGTTGGTTTACGGTAGGTTTAGGGTTGATTGAGTTGGTTCGTTTAGAGTGTGCTCAGAACGTGTCAAGTGTTGGTTTCAAGATGTGTGTTTCGAGCTAGCTTAGGGTTGGTTTAGGGTTAGTTTGGGCTTCTCCTGGGGGTCCGGGGGGACACCATTGGGGTGGGGGCGGACTGGGAACCCGGAGCCCGGGACCATAAATTTTCAGTGCATCATCTTTGTGGAGGCCAGATTGACGAGTGGGAAAGGGAAGCGAAATCTGGTGCAATCACCAAGTGTGAAACAGAGCAGGACGTAGCAGTTTGTCTCGCTCTGGGCAATTTTCATTGTCTACAGTTCAGGTGGTTTGCGTTTCGGCAGCTGGCAACTGGTTGCTACTGGCATGGCCACCTACTTGAGAAGAATGTGCATCTTGCAACAACGCATTCTCAAGTGTGCAAAGACAAGCTAAGGCCTAATTTAGCACGTGGACGAAAATACATTCTACACCACCTCTAAATCCAAGCTGACATGTCCCCATTCGTGCAGTGTCAGACGAGGCATTTGGTATGGTTCGCCCAACTTTACTCATGAAGTAGGTGGTCCAGAAATGCATTTTTCATGCTCGATGCTTGGACATTGCTGAGCAATTTCCAAGCCTTGTACAACAGACAACATGTTTGGGACTTGGCCATCCAATGTAATTTATGAGCGGTAGCTTGCATCACCTAACGGCATAAAGCGGCAAACCTTTCTCTTCCTGGCCCATTTGAGGCTCACAGCTCCCTGCTGGGATTGCTTCTGGCAGTGCTGGTTAGCGCGGTGGCCCGGTTTCAGCACTCACTGCGAGCAAGGTGTTCTGGGCGATGTTGATTTTGCGACAGTTGCATGCCGTTCTTAACATGGCATTTTCCTCAATGGGATTCGAGTGGCTGTGCAAAGGTTGGCGGCGATTCGCTTGCCTGGAGAATAGAGCAGGCACGTGCGGCTTCGTGTGGGCACTGGGTCTTTGATTTTGCTGACATCCCGGGCCCCGGAGTTCCGGAGCCCCGGAGCCGCTGTCGACGAAAGTCTGACGTCTGGAGCAATCCAAAAGTGTTGCAATCGGCTGGTTTAGCGCTGGTCGAAGGCTGTCTGTTTGAGCTGAATGGTTCGCTTGGGGTAGGTTTAGGATAGGTTTGGTCCAGGATCAGCGTTGGTCTAGGGTAGGCAAGCAGACTTCCACAACTGCGGCCACTGCAAACTCTGCATTTAGGACCACCACAGAAGCAAACGCGTTTCCATGGGCAAGCTGCTGATCTCTGGTTGGCTTTGGTTCGAGTGTTCAAACAATCCTACCAGCTGGGGTGAAGAGCGCTTCTGGTAGTTTGCGTTTTTGTCATGCGCTTATTTGCCAGGTACTCTAGCCTTCCTCCTGTGGTTTATCCTCAGCTCCGTGCTGCTGCCATGAACTCGGCATATCCATGTTTGTGTCCGCCTCCTCGACAGGGGAAGGAGCGGGCTGTGCAGCCTTGTTCATGGACCAGAAGAGTACCAGAGTGTTTGCTCATTCCCACTGCTTTGTCTTTAGAGGCACAGCATCTACTGCATCGTGGCGCTGGTCTCATGGCGGGGTGCGGTCGGTGGGGGTCGTGAGTGAGTGCGGCCACTCGACACAGTGAAACGACGCTTGCCCACGGCTTGAGCCGAAAGGATGGATGTGGGTGAGTTTCCTTGGCTTGCTATGCAGTAACCTGGCGAGGGGGGAGGCCATGGGCCATGCCATTTTCTTTTACCAACGATTGTGAGCGTGGAGCATTTGCCCTCCCACAGCCTCCAAAGGGAACATAGCCTTTTGGCCAGTTTTCCTTTTGGTAAGTCAAGTCTGGGCAAGCTTGAGCAAGAGTGATTTCCCTAATTCTCCCAACTTTGTTCTGGGTTACTGTCAGCTTGCCCGCGATCCACTGATACATGAACGACGCACCGGAGCATTCAAACTGATTGTCGCAGGCCTTTCGTGGGCGACTGGCTGATGAATAGCGAGGCGGGGACTGATATTTCATGTAAGGCAGCAAGGCGGTTTCTTGGCAGTATCCCTGTTGGTCATTGCCAGAGGGTGTACCAGTCGCCTTACGTCCGTACCGTCCAAAGCTGAAGAAGGGAGAAATGCCCTTCATGGTTCAGCATCGAGGCAGCTTTCGCTTGTCAGCTTTATGGTTCACACATGATTAGGCCATGCCCATGGGCTCATGCCGTTTGTACTTTTGTTGGATTGTGCGAGTATGTTGCTACTGGACTAGCTGCCAGGTCCATGGACTTTTCCCGGTGCTTGTGGCGAATTTGGTCGCCAGCATCAAGGATGCCGCCCTGGAGTCCATTCCGAGCATTGGAGCTGCTGCTGGTTTGGTTGTCAATTTGTTCCTTTTTTTTCAGAGAGCTGAAAGTTTTAGGGGTTCTATCTTCTAATAAAGAGGGACTGTGTTTTGCGAGATTGACGGCTGGGTGCTAGGGGGCATGCAGTTTGGGGTGCTGCTGCAGGTGTTTTTTTGGATGCCGTGCGGTGCTGTGTTGAGGTTCTGGTGACAGTGCGGGCAAATTTTCGCGGTAGATTCTACCCTATGTGCCACCCTTTTTCAAAGGCACGTGCATACGCAGGGGGATTGCCGCTTACTTCAGGGCACTGTTTGGCAAGCTGCTATTGTGGGTGCTTGGTCAAGTGCTGTAAGTTCTCGTCAGGGCTTTGTCTCGATGATTGGCTGGCGGCGCTTGTTTGGCGATGCAGCCAGCGTAAAATATTTGTGCGCTTGTTTGGCGACACAGTCAATTGTTTTGGGGTGCCTGCTGATGGAGTCAGGGTGCCTGCTGAAGTCCCATGCTATTTGGGTTTGCTGGTGTGTTTTTATTGCACGGACTTGAAGCCGCAAACACCCAGCAGGGTGTTGTCAGTTTCAAGGATAGCACCTCAATCTCGAAAAATAAAGAACAGGTAGGCCTGTGGATCTATGAAGGGGTGATCAAAAAGCACTCCTAGGCAATCTTGTCCTGGGTGAGCCTTGGATCGTACAAGGACACTGACAACAGCTACATATGGAGCAGCTGACCTGTTTGCAGACGAAGTCGTGTAGCGTTGCGTGATAAGACGGACCTGATGAACGCAATGTTCATGACACCTTGTGGCATGCCGAATGGTGGTAAGCATGTTGCCAGCCTCGCAGCCATGTTCTAAATCAGTTCTTTTCCAAGCGCCGGGGCGCTCTCGGCCTTGTTCTATGCTCCCCGCACCAGCGGGGCCAACTCCACGACCCGGGGTATGGAAGCAAGGCGAGCAAATGATGAACATTGCTGCGAGCTTGTTCTCCTGGGGCCTTGGCTGGCAAAGGACGGGGTTCAAGCATTGTGGGTGTATAGACTTGCAAGTTTCGAAAAAGTCTGGGAAGTGAACTTGAGCAACTCAAGGATCCTCCTCAACGCGCGAAGGTTGCAGGACGGTTACGACATCAAGTACTCTGCGCCTCTCGCTGTTCTGCTGCTAGGTGTGGTCATGACCAACATCCTAGGAGCGCCAGTGCTGACGAGAGTGCGGGCAGTTAGTCATTAATTTCCGGTCTTTAAGCAAAGAAGTTCGACTCCACGGTTCTGCAGCAGGATTGGCGGCAGTGTCTTTGTTTGTTCTGGGACAACATGTGTTCGTTCAGTGTCGCCTCTGCGATTTGTCAGGTGCCCCGTAATTGGTGGTTTGGCTTAGTGGTTTGGGGATTTGAACCCGTCGAGAGAGAAAGTGGGGTTTCCAATCGAAACCAGGAGGAAAGCTGAATCTAGTTGCGACATTTCTGCGAGGAGTCCTAGACTTCCTCCACGAGGGCCACCGTTTGTCAGTGGCGATGGCGGCAGTAGACCTGGACACGCCCTACTTGGCTGCGGCGCGCTGTCCCCAGCTGCTGCGCGGGGAGCCGGCGTCTGACCGACCGGGGGACGGGGAACTGAGGGACGGGGGTGACGTTTGACGTGGAGGCTTGTCAGATCGATTGCACAATCATAGATACGGCCGACATGAATTGGCCCTGGTTTGTCTCTCGTGATCCGTTGAAGCAGAAAGGTGTCGAGAGCTTCAGAGAACGGAGAGACAAACCGAGAGCCCCTTCCCCTCCCAAAGATTCTTGACTCGGAAGGAGACTCTGGCAGTGCTTTGAGGAAAGAACGAGGAACTTTGCAAAGCCACCATGTACAGAAAAGGGCTGCGTGCATCCTGAGCAGCCTGCCCTCACGAGGAAATCTGAACATTCACTTATCTCTTCAAGCACTGCCAAGCCACGTATAATGTATAATTTCTGGGATATTTGTATATTCTGTCCGAATGTGAGTGGAAGGAGTGATCTTAACATCTTTCGACTTAGATAGGATAGACAGATGGATGGGTAGGTAGGTAGGGTAGGAGGTAGGTGGGTAAAGATGCCAGGTACAATACAAACACATTTTACAACAACGAATAACACAGAAAAGACAAACGTATTTGTGCAGAGAAAGCGTGAGGCGCTTAAAGAAGCTAGGTTGTGTCCCAGAGTCTGTTGCTCTCCACGCCTTCTTTCGGTGCGACAGGACTGGGAGAGACTGCGTATTCGCAATGCCATTTGGCGATCTGTGCCTCTCGCAAGCATTTCCTTTTACATCGCCTTGAGGCGAGAAAAAATGGAAACGCAGTTGGAACCCGTCTAGTAAGTTTCTCGGTTTTTGCTCCGCGCGGCTTTACTTGAGTCCTCAACGTCGCCCACCCTGCAGGGACCTCTTGGAGATCCCTTCTTGTCAGCTGGTTGCCTCCCAGTCCATCATTGCCAATGGCTTCACCGGCATTCCGAACATGTTCTCAGAGGCGGCCAGCGCCGGGGAGAACCCCCTGAACTTTCAGAAGGTCTACCGGTGGAATCAGATCAACGCCTCCGTCCGGGACATGGGCATGGGCAAAAGTAATTGAGACACGCGTACTTTTTTGGTACTCGGTTTTAGCGAAGGCCTTTGTAATGCAACTGCAGGTGAGCGCGCGAATTGGGGGAGGGGTTGGCGCTTGCAGGAGCTGCACCTAGAGCGATACATGAATCCCAAGCTCTGGGAGAGGTGGCGTCGCACGGAGGCTATGCTGTGGAGGAGTGCGCATTGTGAGGATTCAAAATGGAGTGCCGGCCGGAAGCTGTACCTAGAGGATTTGGCGGAGACATGGTTCGTGCAACCTGTGGTGCGGCTGGAGGATGGGCACACAGGAGGACTTGGCACAGGGAACCTGCTCATGACAAACATCCTGTTTCAGCAGGCGGCTCTTCGTCACCTGTCTCTGCAAAAAAGCCTCAAGCCGGACATATTGAAGCTGATACGCAGATCGAAGGGTATGGTCTCCCGTGAATATGTGGGCGTGGCTTGGATGTCCCTTGAAGACACGGTTAATGCTTTCGAGGAGAAACTACGCAAAGACTTGCTGGATATGCCAGGGGTCAAGACTGCTGATGTGTTCAGCATACACCAGGAGAGGGAACGCTGGCAGTGGAATCTCGGGTTCAGTTTCATTCTGCTCTTGCATGCAGTTTCTCCTATGGTGAAACACGTGCAAAAGTCAAGACGCATCCCATCGAAGAAGCTTTTGCCAATCGCGGTGCATTGCATGCTGGACATGATCCTTCTGGTGGCAACTCTCATTGGCGCTTCCTTGGCTGAAATGGCCCACGATGCAGGCGCTGAAGCTTGACAGAGCGTGACAATTTGATGGTTTGCCAACGGCGGGTTCACTTAGTAACTAAGGGTTCATGCTTGTATTTGCATCCACGCATTGATGCAATTGTCACCATTGCCGCACTTCCTTCTTTTCAGCTTTTCTTTTCAATGTGTTTCGTGATCACGCATTGCAACATGTCATGTCATATTATGGTCCACGGGGGGTGCAGGCAAAACAGGCGCGCGGCGCAGGCGCACACACACAGGCTTGCAGACACAGAAACAGTAGCGGAGACACACACTTCAACTCCCAAGGGAGAGAGCTAATCTTTCGAGTACAACCGATGAGTCTCGAGTACAACCGATGAGTCTTGAGTAGGTGAAGTTTCGGCTCGCGATGCACTCGGTTTCCTTCTAGTGACGAACACGTTACCCGAAAGAACAAAAACACAAACAGCGCCGCAACCAAGGGGAAAAAATGGACATTTAGTATCACGGAATGCAGGTACGCGGAGTTGATCAGACTCCGTATCAGCCGTGGCATAGCCCTCTTCGTTGGGCAGCCAGCTATGCTCACGGGATTGCCCCCCTGCTGACGAGGAAAGGTTGGTGGCAGGGTATTCTTCCTCTCCGCACACACACGAACAATACCTTTTGCATCCGGAAGACCAAGTCAGTGTCTACCAAAAAATTCCACAGCGGCGAGGAGAACGTGAATTAGCACGTTCTGTGCGATGCCGCTCAGAAGACGGGGACACAGGATCACCAAGTTGAACTGGAAATAGTACGCCCCTTTGCGCAGTAGTTGATGGCAAGACTGGCGGAAGGAACATCGAGGACCGATGTGCGGTATCTGTCAGAGGTGGGGAGTAGGTGAAGAGGTCCATCAGGTTGCGATCATGCTGAAGGGGACCGCGCTGAGATGTGCCAAGTTGGTCCACCTGAATGGAGACATCCGGGTTCTGCACGACATCACGCGGTTCAGTCGAGGCATTGTTGACGGAAAAGGGCTCGTGACGGGTCAATGTCCGCTGGTAACCCTGATGCTGCCAATCCTGAATGGTCCAAGCTTCGTGGTGAAGATGCGATTGGTGACCCTGCTCAGATGGCCAACCATCATCGCCTTGAGCCTCATCCTGTGGTGGGACCACCGGTTTCCACACTTGGAAAGTGTTATCTGGTAGAGCAGGCACGTCATCATGGTGCCAAAGTCGAAGTTCGCCAGGAATGTAGACCTTCACCCTTTTTTGTCCCTACCAGAATGAATATTCCAGCCATGGTTGTTGAGCGCCATCCAGGTCCCGGGTTTGGGCTGCAGCGTCAATTTCCATGTTGCGGTGGAAGAAGGGTTGCACCACGGTATCCGATCCAGCTACGAGCGCAACAGAAACTGCTAACATGCGCAACGAACAACACACAAGCACGCAAGTCATCAAGATAGCACCATTTTGCTGCATGATCAATGCTCGTCTGTCTACTCAGCAACCAGTTCAAAAATGGACTTCTCGTTGACGTTCGAACTGCAAGGGCGGCCCGTGGGCGGATAGGGCTCAGTGAGTCCAACAGGTTCAGACTGAAGCTGATCCGCGTCTTGAGCAGTGCGTACTGGCTGATGAGTCGTTGATGCTTGCCGCATTCGCAAGTTGTTGGCTAATCCCTGCCTGTAGACGGGTCAGATCCTCGGTGGAGAAGGTGGATGCATCCGAGGATCGTAAGATCGCCTCCAACACCAGCGGGGACATGCTCAGGAGTGATGACTGTGTGGCCACGCTGTGTTGGTCAGGGGATAGAATCGAAGCCAAGTTTGGTTTCGGAGCAGCAACACGCCTGTGTCCTTCAGTGGTCCAGTCACGTTTGTACCATGCGTGAACAGTGGATTGAACGCCATCATGTGAGTGAATTTGTCTGTGGAACAACTTCCATTTGTGATGGGTATTGTGTGGAGGAGGTTCATCGTGTTCCTCATGTAGTGTCCATGTGCCTGGATGAAAGACCTTGACCCATTGAGCGTCAGGTTGTTGAGGATCAGGGCACCACTCCAACCACGGCATGACTACGTAAGCTCTGATAGGCACATCGGAAATGCACACGGCTGCAGGCAACGAACACGTCGTGCCATGTGTGTCACAAGAAGTGTCAATCAAACGCAAGAGACTCGATCCAGACCTCACGGCACATGCGACACCGAACGCAGCAGTTTACATCCAGAAGCAACTCAGGTGTCGATGTCACTTGCCCCAGTCAAACTCAGGATCATAAGGCGGTGAAGGAGGACGCCAACCACCATCTGAAACTGAGGATGCTGCCGATGATGACAATCCAGCGTACACGAGGTCAGGCGATCCCGACGGGAAAGCAGGCCGTGCTATGCTCGAGTGCGGATTGCCGACCCTTTGGTATCGTCTTGGCGCCACTCCCGATAGGTGGAAGTGTCTCCGCTGGTCCCAAGGTGGAGTCTGCAACAGGTTGCCATGGGCCCGGCATGTAGACTCTAATCCATTCGGTAACGGAATTTCCAGGACCAGCCGCTATATCGTACACGAAGTAGCGTGGGATAGGCCACCGCTCGGTGGTCGTCGAATTGAACATGACACACGAATCAATGGCGGTGAGACAACGCAAAGCGCATGAAGCCGAGAAATCTGCGAGAGCAAGAACATGTAAACAACTCAAGACAAGGCAACGCAACCAAAGCACAGTCAACGTGCAACACGGACATTTTTTCACTCAGAAAGTTCACTGTCCGCATGCTACTGCCGTTGATGACGTGCGCGTCGGCAGTGAAAGTGCCCCGGCTGGCGTCGCGCACAAGGAGAAAGGCACTGCCGGCCACTGTGCAGGAGTGCATGGCAGTAATGCTTGCATCGCATAGTTCTGGACCGTGTAGCACGAGACGATCTTTTGGGAGTGAACACGGTGAATGGCCTGCGGGAGTACTGCGTCGCCACCGACGCTGTGATACTCCTGAAGGTTCGAGTTCGCTTGCGGGCGTATTTGGATCCACGCGTAGAGGATGGACTCCGCGAGTGGTGTTGATGATCACCTGAATGAAGATGTCCAGCGCTTTGTACTGATTGTCTTGTGTGGCGGGAAGATGTAGTAGCCCGGCATGATCCGCCACGTGGGAGTGATGGCGGTGAAATTCGTAGAGTAGGCATAAACTGAGAATGAAGTATTTCCGGCAGCGGAGGAGGTGGAGGAGGCGGCGGTAGTAGAACTGAATGTGGAGGTGGTGGTGGAGGCGCCGGTATGCGTATTGGTAGTACTTCACACTGCGGTCGGAGCTCACAAGCCTCATGCGCAGGGCCATGGTAGTGTAGCCATGCGGGACGAGCTCCATGAGCCCAGTGATAAACGTCTGAACATTTTGCTCCGTCATGTCTTTCCGGACGGACGGCGTGCTGGCATAGCCTTCACTGCAGGAGAAGCGTTCGAAGGAGCACCTAGGTGTTCTGCGGATGCAAGAGGCACACGACGGTTAAGCGGTCTCCTGTGGCGACTTCTGCTCCGAGAACGATGTCGACGCATGTCTTGCCGTCGTGACCTTCTCCTCCGTTTGCGTTCCCTGGAGGCGCTGGTCACCAAAACATCCCCACGTAGCTGGGAACCGCAATCGATGACCGAAGCTTCCACCTCCCCTGTTTGCTGTGGATGCAATCATGGTAATGAGAGGCAGCGATATCAGCGTAAGTGCCGCCGCGCGGAATCATGCAGTGCTCCTGGCGCAAGCGTGACTTTCCTCCTATGCAGAGAGGACGCGAGGAGCGTATCCCTCCAAACTGGGCAGCAGACTTCACTGCAGCATCATTGGATTGAAGGCTCCCTCTGCAATAAAAGCCCACCGGCAGGATCCACACGTCATTCCAGTCGGTGTAATCTCTGTTTGGAGATGGGTCTTCCAGCCACTTTGAGGGTCGGATGAGTTCTTCATGAGGTCCCAGAGCGACGAGGAGCCGGAGAACGGGACCGCGAAGCTGCCTCCTGATCAGCAGATCGGTCCCGCATTGCATATGTCGTGTGCGATGAGCTGTGTCTCTGCACATTCCGGAGATGCACCATGCCATGCGTCTGAACGAACAGGTGCACGTCATTGCCGTTGATGAAGTTGGGAAACTGGTCCAAGGACTGGTAGTCTGCACTGTTCCATCCGGGCGCAACAGGCTGCTGACCGTGTACACCGCGTGGGGGGACCGTCTGGATGAATCTGCAACGTCAAGCTGAAGCGGAGGCACTGAAGTCATGCGACAAGACAAGAAAAGAAAAGAAAGACAGGCAGAGAATCCGAGCCAACCTCAATCATGCACACAGTCACACAAGACCACAAGGGACATGACGAAAATGAAACCACAGGTACGCAACTTGTCAACGTGCGCACTTTTGATGCAGTTCGCCGCCGGATATGACATCTCTTAGGAGGTCAGAGTTGAAGCCTTTGGCTTCATACAGAAGTTTTAGAGCATGAAGCCCGACTTGCTGTTGGACTACGGGTTGCGCTCCACGCACAATGAGCCACGATCTAGATAACCACGAGGAGTAGGTGAACAGCTGGTCGTTGGCGCTCCGAATTCCTTGATTCTGTGATGGATGATCTGGTAGCTGTGGTGTGATCGTCCTTGATACTGAGTCACACATATATCCAAGTACTTTGGTGTCATTTTGTGTCTCCAGTAGAACTGGAGCGCGATAAAATTCCAGTGAGAGAAAATGGCTGAGGACTGCTGACGGCGGCGCCGCGTTGCGTAATAGTACGAAGCGATTGTCCACATAGCGTTCATGCCAAAGTACACCAAAGTCTGGCGTTCGAATCCGAAGCGAAGTCATGGTCTGGTGCCAGAAATAATCTTCAACGGTTGCGACAAGGTTGCAAAGAGGAGGAGCAGCCGGAGATCCATGGCGACGCCTCGTTCCTGTCCAAACAAGTATCCATTGATCTCAAAGTGGCTGTTGCTGATGACAAAGCCGAGGAGTAACTGCAGATCTTCTTCGCGAAAAATCCGTGGAACTTTTTTGACGGCGCCAT